ATTGAATTGCACTGTACAGAGGAAACGTTCGACCGCATCTGGGCCCCAAATTCGGGCGAATCTGCATAAGTAGGCAGGAAGATTTTAGTCTTTACGAAGGTTTATTGGATATAAATGAGTACTGGTTCGAGAAATCATCCAAACCATCCGTCTCATGACCGACTCACAGGCTAGGTTAAGCTGCCGAAGTCTCCTCAACAATGTACTCCAGAAATGATCTCCTATGGGGTCGGCTACTGTCCCAACCTCACCAGCTTTAAAATTATTTTCCTGTATCATCTTATTCCAGAATAGATTTAAATCATGATGATAAATTTAAGCGCATTGCCTATTCAAGTCACGAAGACTTCAAGCAAGTGCAATTTGACCGAACTAAGGTGACCAGGGTGGTGGTATCTTTTACTATGAAAATTCTATTAGGTGGGTTAGGGGTATCTATCAATAAGGATGAAGGCCTTCTTTCAAACAGGACTCAGGAACCGGGGTATTAGTTAACTCATCCAAATTTTTTAGCTATATCATTACCTCACCTCTTAATCAGTTACCCTGACTAGTGGCTTCATGGAACATTTTCATTAAGCCTCTTCACAATTTATAGTGCGTATTTTTATATATTTACTGTTTTCAATTTTAGCTTTCAAGACTCATTTGCTTCTTCCACATCAACCACAACGCTTTCTCATTTCCCACTCTAGACTGGAACCTCAGTACCGCAAAGTGATGGCTTGGGCTAACTATTTACTTCGAGTTATGTTCCACTCCTACATCATCGATTGTTGGAGTCAGATAACAATTCCCACAAAAGGGGCCATGGTACACCGGAGTAGATGCAGACTATCGCTAGGTTTAAAGTTTAAGTATATATTCACTACTGTCCATCTATTCATTTGATCCTTAAGCGTCTGAGTCAAAGGCCCTATTTCCTAGACAATAAGTAAAGCTTAAACGGATAGAAGTAGGCTGAACTCGTCGCAACGTGGTTGCGTTGTTGCTTAAACTAATGCTATCACGATCAGGTCATTTCCAGCTTGCTTCTTCAACAATTTGTTGACAAGTCACTCCTGTCTGCCAACTAATATCAAACTCTTTATCTACCCTTACACTCTCCTTCAGATTTTCGCCCATCTTAAGCCGAAGGAGGGTCGGATACTTGTCGGCCCCAACAGTCGCCAACAAAAGCTGGCAAAACTTCAGCCTAAACTAGGGGAACTGGTCGCCAAACAGAGTACAAAAAGGACAGCTGACGCTTCAACTACAATCGAGGGCGCGATAACCCAGGCAATTCTGGGACTGGTCAAACACTGTTCAGAGCTTGAGGAAAAGATTGAGTACAAGTAGGTTCATGCTGATAGGTAACCTGTTAAAGGCTTTGTTTAATATACAAACAAGAATGTGGTAATTCATGTGCAGATGGATAATTAGTTGAACAACTGAAATCCCTATGAAAAATCAAGTGAGCATAAAGTTGCAACAAGTAATTATTGTCAAGCTTTGCTCTAGTGCAGAAAATAATCAAAACGATAATAGAAAGTAATTGTTTTTCAAGCTATATCTTAATATTGGTAGAATAAACCTGTAAATAGGCGAAAGATGTAATGATAATAGAGCAATGTGCTTCTGCCTAGTGAATTGACATACATAGGATTGGGCATAGTTGTGAATCTAGGTACAAAAGCTCAGTATGGCAAAAAAATGAGGAAATGTTCGCCTCATCTAAAAGAAAATATTTACATTTATTGCACTTTTCGGAAAAGTTTCAATTCTAAGCAAAATTTCGTGTTTTATTTAAATTTTAATGAGCATGAGTCAAAGTGACCAAATCGAGCTTGTCTAAGGGCTACTCTAAAGTAAACTAGGATTGTTTGAGTATAAAAAACTGCTAGTGTAGGTTCGACCTTGTTTTCTCAAATTGGCTGGAACGTCAGGGAGACCTTGTGGGAGGTACCTCGTCCTGTGCCATCTGTCATAGTATTCGTGATTTCCAGCTTCGGACCATTGACTTCGTACATTCACAAACGTTTCGCCAGCATCGTCAACGAGAGGCGGCAAAGTTACAACTTAAAAAAAATATAAGTGAAGGCAATCCTCTTGACCAGTTTTGTGTTCAACAGTTGTGGCATCACTCCTCGTCCCTTCATAAGTTAAGAAGTCCAAGTTAAGCATAGCCTCCATTCCTAGGCTTCTTAATTTATTCATGAGTATCAGCTAGTTTACCTTTGATGGCAAGTTTTCTGAACAGACACAAGGACTTGAGATAGGATGTTGCTTAGCTCCCATCTTGGCGAATAACTATATGACCAAACTTGAGGAAGACTATTTAGAACAATACCAATCCCTAAATTGTGGGTTAGATACATGAATAACTAATTTGTGATTTCGCCTTATGATAAGGAAAGCTTAGATAGTCTCCTACTTTCACTTAACCAATGTGAGAGGAACATTTGGTTCACGAAGGAACTATAGGATGATAGGTCCTTACAATTTTTGGATGTTGTGGTCATTAGAGAAAATGGCAATTTAGGAAGAGATGTTTATAATAAGCCAACGTGTTCTAGATTTTTTTCTGAATTTTCTTTACAAACCATTAAAAAACTAAGGTTGGAATTTTTAAATCGATGGTTATTAGAAGAATGAGGCTAAGGGACAGCAACCCTTTGTCTAAAGAGTTGGACCGACTGAAAAATTTATTCCAGGAAAATAATTATCCATTCCGCCTAATTGTTAATAATATCTCATTACTGAGGAATAACTTTTTAGATGGAGGCTATTTAATCAGAGAGAGACAAGAGGAGAACTTTTATCATATCCTGATTCTGCCGTCAAGCCTTCTTTCAAAAAAGATAGGAGAACTAGTGAGAACCTCCTCCTTTCATCGGTTATGTCATCTTCTAGATAGAAATATGGCCCATTATCAAGATCCAGATGCTACAAGATTGTTTGCTCCTGTGGTCGATCTTATGTTGGTGAGCCATGCAGGGCAATTCGACAAGGACAGGAGAACATTAAAATGCTTGTAAAGCGAGCTGGGTCATTGAGCCTTGATGACCAGAGCCTATTTTGATCACTCTGATTTAGGACCTGCATTCTGTATAGACGTTAAAACACACACTCGAGCAAAAGTAGTAGGACCAGTATGAAAGATAATTGGCCAAGCCATCCTATATCTATCTATGCCTATTCATTTTCGTTTTTAGTTACGAGCATATATAAGGGGTAGGCTATATCCGGATAATCTTCTTGACTCCGTGTTAGCGTGAGACTTTCACAAGGATGGGTTCCAGCTCTGATGATGCTCATCATATGATCGACGATAGCTCAGCCCGTTTTCGGCCGAAGCGAGGGAGTATGTTTCGTGGATTGCGTCAAAATAAACGTCGTATTAAAGCCAATCGACTGCAGGACAAAGGGATTTAGCCGTCGTCTTCTGGTAAGATAAACGTACGAAGCTCTTTTTCATTCACTTTCATACGAAATGAAGGTCTCCCCAACAATATAAATATATTTCGTAACATTGAACAAGCCTATAAACTCCAGTGTTTTCGAGAAATCACTATCGATCAACGTTATACTTTCCATTATATTAAATGAGTTTATTCCTCATTTAGCTCAATGTAGTTGATTATCATTTTGGGATCACTTTAAGAATGGATTTTCGCCTTGAGAATGTTAAAATATTTCTTAAACCACATATATTTGTCTATATATAATATTCTTTTAAAACCAACATTTAGCATTGATATTGCCTCTTTGATTCGAGAAATCGGTCTTATTAATCTATATAAAATATGATATAGTCTTTATTGTGAAATTGATGCATAGGCTTCAGAGCCGTTACTTAAGCCCACAAGTAGGATTGAATTGGTAAAGTCCATGGAGTCTCTTCGTAGTACTGCTACAAGGATCCATACACCCAGGATTTAGCAACGACAAAATAAAGTAACAATTTAAATTTCGTATTGAAAATTGCACAAAGTTGCAGTCACATAAAGGCCTTGAGTATAACGCTAGTCATAGAAGATACATATGAATTTTTAACCATGTACGCTCAATGAGATTAGGCGTATTCTTTAGAATGATAATATCGGATTAAAAATTGCAATTTTAAGTACTCAAAATTTTAGTTTTTTTATACTTAAGAATATATTATTTTTATGTTAATCCATAAATAAATGAGGACTCCAAATAATTTAAAATTCTATTTCACTGTGTAGTTTAAAGTCGAGTTAAATCATTCAATGGATTTAAACCTTATTTTGAATTACTACTGTACCGTTTGGATATATAACGCTTATGTATCTGGGCCTCATTAAAATCCCTGGCGAATTCAGCATCTGAGCGTACCGAATATGACTTCGAAATACACGGCATGCTATGTAAATTTTGGATTCCATCATTGCGCTACCTTACTCTTCCACCTTGCCAATCTCACAGCCTTCAACCAGACTCAAACGTTGCAATGCGTTCCATTGCAAACACGTTATATGATAACTAGCATAGCTCTGAGACTTCAAATTTACGCAGTCCACGAGACCTACTTCGTTTCGGGTGAAAACGGGCTGAGCTATAGTCCATCATATGATGGGCATCATTACAGCTGGGTCTCATTCCTGTAAAAATCTCACGTTAATACTAGGGCATTAAGAATATCCGGCTCTATCTTACCTCTTATATAGACTTAATTAAGCAAAATAAAATTAAAAACCTAGATAGATATAGAGTGGTTTGGCTAATTATCTTTCATACTAATCCTTAAACATTTTCTCGATTGTGTTTGTGCGTGTTAGCTTCTTTACGCAATATCGGTCCTAAATCAGAGTGATCAAAAGGCTAATGTCAGGCTCTGATCATCAAGGCCTGAGATAAGGAGATATGAGCTTGTAAGCATGTAAATCAAGTTACGAAACCACTTGTCCTAACCTCTCAGTCTAGGGTCATTAGCGTTTAACTCTCCGAGGAATGGAACGACTGGGGCTGCGTAATCTTGCACGTCTGGTTTGGTTGATGAGCTTAATCTAAAATATTGGACGACTATGAGGGAAGTTAGAACCATCACAGAGCAGACAAATTGAGTCGCCTTCTTTTTGACGGCGGCTCAACACCCTCTCT